GAGGCCTAATCTATGCGATCTTATCGGTCTAGTGGAGGTGATTTGCAGTAGGCGGTCTCTCAAGTACATAGTTCTTCATCATTGTAACCTCTGTAATGATTCATTGTGTATTTGGAGTGTTGAACTAGAAAAGGCATAATTCAAGTGGATATCTTCATTATTCAGAATCGAAAACTCAGTCCTTCAACAAGCAAGCTGTTGCCTGTATTATATGTTGGTCATGGTTATATTGGCAGTATAGGTAGGCCTTGTTTAGTGACTGTATGTTGTTGGAACGATGAAAAATAACTTTAGGACCAATCCTTGCACCCATGACCTTAGCGGCTTTGTAAAGCAAAGAAAGCTGAAGTAAGATTGTAAGTGCAGTTGTGATTTCACTAAGCAACCACCTCACCTAATGACCAGGTTCCTGGTCCCAATTGTAATCCTTAAATGAGGACTACTGAATGTATGTACCAAATTTTGTAGTGAGTTTTAATTCCTTTTGACATTTTACCTTGGTCTTCTAGGATATATCAAAGTGAGTTCTCACTTCATGTTAAATCTGGAGCATCAATCTATTCTATAGCATTCCAGATACTATTGAGTTACAGCTGTTACCATCTGTGCCCATGAGTCATAGGTTTTATAATAATCTAGTGGGTCACCAGTTCTTTTCTCCTTGATGGGCAGTCAATGCTATATATGATTTTGTGTTTGCAAGTTGTGGAGCTAAACCAGTACTAGTAGGAATGAGAAGATACAGCCACGTGCATAGTTTTTGTAACATTTTTGTCCATTTATGATCAATCTTTCCATAATCTCAAGGTGATCAAGTCTACAGAAATACATGGCAATGGCAGATTTGTTATGAAAATATAGTATCTTTCCTTTTCCTACAAATCTTTGCAAAATAGGGTATCATGTGGAAAGTCACAGCAAACAATATCTACCGCCCAGTATTCTGGGGCTCCTTTTAATTGAAAAATTTACTTTTTCTCGTCACACCAAACAAATTAGTGTTAAGAAATCAAATCATGGTGGAGTAGAATAATTTTTCACATCACATTGTCCCTTTGAAGAAGAAACAAAATGGCCACCCTCCACATAGCACTATTCAAGAAGGAGTAGATTTTTGTGTTGAATATGAGTGTTCCAGTTTGCCAATTATACGAAAATGTGATGGCGTTTCTTTTTGGCTTAATGTGATGTGTGAACTCATTCTAAAATTTAAAAAAAATTACATGGTTTGTTGAGTTAGTCAAGCCTGAAATCTGCTTACACTTCCTTGAAATCCTTCTGGCCTTATAGGAAAGAATGTGCTTGAATATTAGGCCAGAGTTACACTCCAGTATGTGTATGTTATCTCAATCGGATTTAACTTCAAATCTTAAATGGATTGGAAATGGAATTGTTATTATAATTATTTCTTTTATATTTTATACTCTTTATTTCGCATGACACATTACAATTGCACAACTGCATGGTATATTGGGATTTTGCAGGTCATACTCAAGGCAGGAGGTTCTAAAACAGCAAGTTGTGCTGTTTTTTCATATCTTGTTGCAGCTTTTTTTAGGGTCACAGAATTATAAGGTAGTGAACTCACAGCAACCCCTGAAGTTGTTGTTTCTTACTATGTTTCCATAGCAAGGTAATTAATATGTTGTAACTTAATATATTAAGTTAATAATCTATATAATCCTAAGCAGTCATGCATAGAGGCTCTGATTCTCCACATGTTTCATTTAGTAATCAAAATAATCATTTCATAGAAGGATAATTCAGTAAAGTTTGTTAGCAGTCCATTGTTATTTCTACTTTGTGTATTTTATTCAAAAATATACTGAATTAGATTGCTAACATTTTAGTAATGCACTAATGTCATTGTGAAGCATGTTAAGTTTTTGGAAGGGAGCAAAATACTGCAATAGATACAGTTAGTTTTTGAAATTTGGACTTGAGTCCAAATTTCCTGTTGCTAAGTGAGACATTTGTTAAGTGAGCTTTGCCCCATTTTATGACTTTGGAGAGCTATAGCAATAGCAATAGCAGTAGACTTATATACCGCTTCATAGGCCTTCAGGCCTCTCTAAGCGGTTTACAGAGAGTCAGCATATTGCCCCCAAC